AGTCCATCAACAATTCTCCCCTCCATCTAAACCTTATCTTAATGTTATGTTATAATAAAAGCATACTATAAAAATATGTTTACAATCTTTATTTCACTGTGGGACTAATTATAAAAAACAAACAAAAATATATTCTTACTTCATCCATTTGTGGTTCCACTTTTTTAATAATGTAAAAAGTCGGTTCAGGATATCGTTGAAAGGCACTTCGGACAACTAACCTTCCGACACCAAAATTTTTTAGATTACTCAAAATTTCAAACAGCGTCTTCCCCTTAAAATGGGTGGTTTTCCCTATATATGTAATAGGCATTTTTTTTATTCAACACAACTTTTGTATTTGTTAATGACGTGAAACAGAATATTCTAGAAAGAATAAAGCTTTACTACCTAAAATTTATAAACTTATGGGCATCACTCTTCAACCATTCGGGAAAACTATAGCGCCCTCTCAGCCTGTTTTATTCAACTCTGATAATAATAATAAAAAAAAATATTTCATCAGGGCTCGTAGTAATGGCAAAACGTTGACAGATATTAAAAAAAATATTATTCAGTATTATTATCTGGAGAGTAAAGATCGTTTCTATAGCTTTATTGCCAGAATGTCTAAATCCCTCCAGTTTGCACTACAAATTCTGAAAAACAAGAAAAAAAAATGTTTTTTTCTAATTTACTAACACACCTTACAAGTGGTTTTATAATTCATTATAACTTTTTATTTTAAATTATAACTTGATATAATATATATATATATATATATATATAAGTCTTCTATACGTTTATCCATAAAACAGCGCATTTCATAAAACATTGCAAAACGAAACGTAAAAGACATTATTTCCCTCTTCCCTTTTGTTTGTTGGTTTGTTTTAGGGCAGAGCTACTCAATGGGCTGTTGAAGTTCGTCCGCCCCTGGAATCAAACCATGAATTATAGGTGCTTACCGTAATGTTGTGGAGTTATAATATCAATCGTTGTCATGTTTAGTTGCTTGTACGATCACCCAAGTCTAGTTGGTAGTTACTTACGTAATAGATTTTGAATTACCAGATTCTAATTAATAACTATGCTTCGTTTACTAGTCTGCTGTCTTCTTCAGGGAAGTTCTTAGAAGAACTGTTTTAAAGCTCGGCCATTCTTAGGACTGCTCTAATTATGACAGCAGATTAGCAAACGAGTCATAAGATAAAAAGTAGTTAGTAATTTAAAAATAGGGGAGACAAAATATGAAAAATATATCAAAATCTGAAATGGACAAATTAAGAAAAACATGAAAAGAATTTTCAGCTAAAGATTTTCGTCATAACTTTTGCGGCCTGGCATGTTCTGATGATTAGAACAATCAACCTGCAACCTGAGGGTCATGGATTCGGATCCCGTCTCCGAATTTACTCGACCCTTCAACCGAGAGGACGTTATAATTTGAATATCAATCTCATTATTCATTGGTAAAAAGTTGATGGTGATTAGTGTTGATTAGTTGCCTTCCCTCAAGTCTATCACTTCAAAATTAGAGATGGCTAGCGCAAATAGCCTTTCAGTAGCTTTGAACGAAATTCAAAAACAAACAGACATAAATTTTAGGCCTATGATATTATTAGTATATCCAAATGAATGCAGCCTGTAGAAACGTTATAGAAGGAATAGAGCGATTTGTTACTGTTACGTGGACAGTATTTCGCATTATTTTCTCCACGCAACGTAAAAGAACCCTCCTAATGACAGGACACGTTACAATACTAATGTCAGAAGTGGGATTATTTGGGGGGCATAGTCTTGTTTTCTGGAACAGTGTCCTTCTAGTTTTGTTTTCTGGGACACAATCCTTCTAGTCTTGTTTTCTGGGACACAATCCTTCTAGTCTTGTTTTCTGGAATACAGTCCTTCTAGTCTTGTTTTCTGGAACACAGTCCTTCTAGTCTTGTTTCTTGGAATAGTCCTTCCAGTCTTGTTTTCTGGAATACAGTCCTTCCAGTCTTGTTTTCTGGAACACAGTCCTTCTGGTCTTGTTTCTTGGAATATGGTCCTTCCAGTCTTGTTTTCTGGAACACAGTCCTTCTGGTCTTGTTTCTTGGAATATGGTCCTTCCAGTTTTGTTTTCTGAAACACAGTCCTTCTAGTTTTGTTTTCTGGAACACGGTCCTTCTAGTTTTGTTTTCTGGAACACGGTCATTCTAGTCTTGTTTCCTGGAACATGGTCCTTCCAGTCTTGTTTTCTGGAACACAGTCCTTCTGGTCTTGTTTCTTGGAATATGGTCCTTCCAGTTTTGTTTTCTGAAACACAGTCCTTCTAGTTTTGTTTTCTGAAACACAGTCCTTCTAGTTTTGTTTTCTGG